AAACGTTGTGTATGAATTATCAAGGACGAATTCTTAGATTTGTAGAAGACTTAGCTAGTAGGAAACTCAAGCCGCCTTTATGAGTGCGAAAACTTTGAATCGCTTTTGATAATCCTTTACCCATTCTGAGACCCAGTATGGTGTTACAACTTCCTATTCTTTCCCTATCATTATTACGTCATTTCTTCTTCCATGATTTCCAGTAGTTAATTTGTATTTATTCGGCTATTAAATGGGCTTTTATTAGTTTACATTTACAAATATTTGTGATCATTTTGTTCAAAACGTATGACGGAAATATCCATTTTTCAGATCAACTCCGTTTTCTCATTGTTCTACCAAAATACATAGAAGATGAAATTGACTGTTGTTGTCTAAGAAAGATGGCATTTCACTTTTTTCAGTAAATAGTAACATAAACAACTTGGGTAGACTATAGAACAGACCCATAAAGTGGATAGAATGGCTTGTTTTATCAGTAGCATTAGTCTATGTTTTTGTGTTGATTAAGTACAGGCTATGCAAGCTATCCGTCAAAATACAGATTATGATCATGTGCCTCATATGAGATCTATTAGCAAAAGTAATATTACACTACACATGAGGAACTAACAGGTTAACGGAAACTGTTTCTTTTCAAAGTCATTTAAGGGAGTCAATTTTTAACAGTACATGCAGCCTCATTATTAGTGTGTGAAAACTGTGAAGTCTCATTGATTGAACAGTTTTTATTCGACTTATACATGTAATAGATGGATTTGTAGTTGTATATCAGTGGTCTTTGTCTTTGATTCGCTATCAGTATATTAGGAAATGAATAGCATTCTGTTTAATGTAATCAAAGTGAGAATGATAGGAAAGTGGACTGTAATTCATTGTCTGGTCAATGAATCTAAACATGATTTCGAAACCAAATGAATAATTCCTATTCATAGTTTAAAAGTAAAGCAAATCCTAAATAAAATATCCAATGAGGAATGATTGCTTACCTTAATTTCATTATACAAATTCCCAGCTAAAATGGGCTCCTGATTCTTTAAACCAATTTTGATGTGCTTTCTGGTAAATTCAACATAGACATCGCGAGATTTAATGGAATGTGGTAACTAATTATAAAGACAAAATAAATTGTAAAACTAATTATGTTGAGGGGGGGGGGAAATTCGCTAAAAGCAACTCTTATTTCACTAAACAAACTGCAATAATCTTTACAATTTCTTTTCATTCAAATGCCACAGAATAGTAAAAAGAATTAGAATTGTATGAGCCGATAGTGAAAAAAATTACTTTTTAAGCATAGGATAGATAAATCTTGTGGAGAATCAAAATCCAGCTTATTTTGAAATAACTAAAATAATTCATTGCGCACGCATTCGCTAATCTTATCTTCATGATAGTTGTTTTTGGAATGAGTCAATTGAACGAAAAACAAAAATATATCACAATATGAATTTTATTACAAAACTTACACGTGTTGGAATCTTAATATCAACATCGCTCAGTGTCTGAGTCCAGCTATAATTTGGCAGATCTGCACCATTTCCTTCATTCGGTTTCAATTTTCCCTTGTCCTCCTCATCTTCTTCATCATCAGGAGACGAACCAACTTTGATTGGTTTAGGCAGATCACTTTTCTCAAGTGATGGCTTTGCTTCTGTTTGTGGTAGTGTGGGCATGTCTGACGGCTCCTCACTTGTACCGTTTAAATTATCAGCTTCTGGTATAGAAAATGAGAATTAGACAGAAAGAGTTGATAAACAGACAGCTAAATATTACACAAAGCGAATAATAACACTTGATGTTTTCTTTTAAAAAAGTGGCAGCAAAGATAATAGATATTTTACTAGATAGTCAGATTATAAAGCTTCACTACTCAATGTTCTGGTGCGCGTCAATAGAATTATTGAAATGCTAGATCTAATGTAGAAAGTGCTTGAATTTTCGTGATATTATGATTGATTTTGAAAAATATATCCTAGTGTTTCCAACTACTATCATTTTAAGAGGATTTGGCAAGAAGTTTATACTGGGCTTACTTACATACGCCTGGTACTCCCAATGGAGCATGGGCCCCCGACTAGCATTCTCCAACCCACTCTGTCCTCGGCCTTCTTTTTTAGTTCCATCCAATTCTTGTTCATTTTTCTCATGTCTATTTCCATTTCCGGGCGTATTGTGTTCTTTCGTCTTCCTCTTTTCCTTTGACCTTCAGGATTCCATGTGAGGACTTGTCTTGTGATGCACTTCAGTGCTTTCCTCAATGTGTGTCCTATCCACTTACAGCGCTTCTTCCTGATTTCTTTCTCCGCTGGGATCTGGTTTGTTCACTCCCACAGTAGGTTGTTGTTGATAGTGTATGACCAACGGATTCGAAGTATTTTGAATAGACAACTATTAATAAACACCTGTATCTTCTGCATGATGGCTTTCGTAGTTCTCCAGGTTTGCGCTCCATACAACAGTAGAACTGTCTTGACATTTGTATTGGAAATCCTGACCTTTGTGTTGGTTGACAGTTGTTTTGAGTTCCAGATGTTCTTCATTTGTAAATATGCTGCTCTTGCTTTTCCGACCCGCACCTTCACATCTGCATCAGATTCACCGTGTTTATCAATGGTGCTGCTCAAATATGTAAAGGTTTTTACATCTTCCAAATCTTCTCCGTCAATTGTGATTGGATTGTTGCATGTTGTGTTGTTTCGGAGAATCTTGTTTTTCCCTCTGTGTATATTGGGACCTACTACTGCTGCTACGCTGGTCGTCTTCTCCTGCATTTGTTGTTGCGTTTACGATAGAAGATCCAGATCATCTGCGAAGTCTAGATCGTCCAGCTGTATCCTAGCTGTCCACTGTATCGCGTGCTTCTCTTCAGATGTTGACGTCTAAGCAGTTGGAGGTTAATAGCATCGATCATTCTATTATACATGCAGTCTACACAACTGTAACTATGGTTTACTGGTTTTCTAACATTACATGATCTAAGTATACGAACTCTAATCCATTAGGTTTACTTTGAAAAACTGATTGATATCGTTATTTTAATTAGTAGTGAAAATGACTTAAGATTTCAATGTACGTACGTATAAATTTAGTAATTTGCATTACTCATATCTATTGTACTGCTTACAGTTGACAAAAAACACCACTAACTTTTGCTTAACTCCTTTGGAGGGGCAAGATTCGCCTTAATGGCTTCTTTCTTTTTTTCTTCTCTTCGTTTACGTTCGCGTTCATCTCGTTCATGTAATTCTTTCTTCTCTTCTTCACGACGTGCTAAGGCAGCATCCTATTTATTCCAGAAAAAAAAACACCAAATGCCTTTGAATAGCAGTGATGAACAGTCTAACGATCAAAGCAATACACATGACTAAAATATCCGTACAGGGAAAAGTCTCAAGAATGGTACTTCACATATTATTGATTCACGGTTGTTGAAAAAAAAATGAACCGTTAAGATAGGCCGGCTGTATAGAACCGTGCAACGAAAAACAACTGGAACTTTACAAGCGAATAATGCTGTTCCACTTAAAGTTGGTTAACTCTGTGTCCAAACTCACCCACAATATAATATTGCATGAGTCATAAAGTAGCAGTTCGACATACGTTACTGTTTTGAATGGATGTTGTAAACTAAGAACTACTGTAACACGAAACGCTGACAGGATGAAACAGATTAGTCAGTAGCTACCGGGGACTATTTTCTCCTCAATATACGACCGAATACAGTCCATCATATGCAACGTGAGGTCTGGCACATATGTGCATCAGTTCAAGTTGCTACATCACATCAGAACAGAGAGATGAAATTGTCAACAGAAATCACAAAGTATTAGGGGTAGTAACATTATGAGTAGTAGCAGTAGTAGTATAAAACATTAGGTACAGACAATCCGAGCAGAAAAAATGAGTTCGTGCGATAATAAGTAGCAGGTAATTGTAAAGCTTAGGATCTAAAAGAAGACAAAGAGCAAATGCAGGGTATTTCAAGCCATTTTATCTGACGTCCTAATGAGTAATGTAAATATTTAGATAAATGGCTTGATCCGCACCTTTAATTGTTTTAACTATAATAAATCGGGCTCTTTCGCAAATTGTGAAATCATGACAACTAAGTTTATTCAAGAATGAACACGTTAATTTTGATCACTCAATAGCTGTGGCCCCAAATCCGTCTAGTGGCACATGTACATTTAGTTTTCTTTTAGATTAATTCCAAAATTATCTGTTACTTTATGAATTCGTGTTCCTCCGAACCACGTTTTCGAGGTTCAATCTTTTTAACTGTTGCTGAAAATACAACTCTTTCTAACCCCTTTGCTACTATTCATTTAGGTGACTTTATCGTTATATTATGTTATGGCAACTAGTTAAAGAAGGTTTATGTGGAGTTTATACTGATTACGATTGATCGGTATTTTCTTCATACAAATCATCCTTTGTGGGTATTTACATATAATTAGATAAGTTCCCGTGTTTAACAACTTTTGAGTATGTTTATGCTCATTTCCAGCCAGTTGTTTATTATACATTTATCATAACATTCCTCTAGTTTATGTACATTTTGCATTGAACTTGTTAGTCAATCATAAATAACATTGTTACAAGAAATATCAGTGATAGAGGTAGTAATAGTGTGCGTAGTAATATTGGGCATCAAAGATACAGTTAAAGAAAACAGAAACTTTTTGGAGAACTGTAACCCTAAAAATGGAAACTTACCCGGTGTTTTGCAAAATTCTCAAGAACTAAACGCTTCGCATCTTTTTCAGTAGCTCCATAATAAAAATCTGTTCGTCTGGAAAGGAAGCCGAAAAAGGCGTCCAGCAATCCCTGTACTCCATTGTCACAGCTTTGTGCAACACTCAGGAAAACGTTATCATACTCCATGATAGAAAAAAAGCTTAAAAAGGAAGAGATTATCTAGTTATGTGCCTTATGAGTACAAATCAAAAACTTGATATGTATCACTAGATTATATTGCGGAAAACTAATAAAACCAATTAAAAGCCATTAATAGCTCGCTCAGATGTAAAATTTGAGTCCATTGTTCCAAACGCACTGATTGTTTCTGAGACCAAAATGACATTATCAAGCCAGCTGTTAACAGCAATACGCAATTTTCGTAACTGCTGGTTTCTATTGCTAACACTCACAGGGGCGAAAAATGTACAGATGAGGTCGGACCCCTTTTGATTTAATTGTTCTTTAACTGTAGATCGTGGAGGAGAAGGATCCACGGAAAGTGAGCGCATGGCAACTTCTGCGAAGCTTGGATTGTCGAATGAAACGCTGACAGAAAGACAATGTTCATCAGATACTAGTTTTGTATCACTTAGAGCCATCGAGTTGTTCATCACTGGTAGGTCTAAAACATAAATCTATGCAAAGAAACATACAATACGGAACTTTTTCTTCTTGGATTTCACGTTCTATTTCACGGCGCACGTTCTCACCGAGCTTCTACAAACTTGAGTTTAGTAATTTGAGCAACCTACTTCACGTTCAAGAGCTTGAGAAATATGTACACCTGCAAATGTCGACAATGTAAAGAGACACGAAACTCCTAGAGTGATTTTGGAAGCAGTTGACATGAACCTTAAAAAATTAGTGTAACAGCAGTGTTGCATTATATAGATCTACATATTCACATAAGAACATATGCAACAAAATCCTCGTGACTCGGACATAACTTTAATGACTGTAATTTGGTGATCTAGAAATGGGAATTTTCTCAGGGATTTTAATGTCTTTAAATGAACATGAATATCCTCGCCAATACGGACTTTAGCCGAATAGTTGTATCTATTTTCCCCTTGTCGTAAGGATTGATGACTGTCTCAAAAATCGTTTGATTTAGATAAAAAAAATTTAGAAACTATTCAGTTAAAAAACCTTATTACTTAACATCTAATCTATCGGTGTATGAAGTGCTTTAGAGGCAATGTACAAAAATAGACTGAAATTATTGTAATTAAGTCATAGTTAGCTACGTGTTATTCGCACTTATTAAACGTGGAAGCTTGTATATGGTATGAAACATTTTACAGATCCATTTACAAAGCTACAAACTGTCAAGTCAGAAGTATTAATGACATCATACTGCTTAAGTCATAGTAAACGGAATGAGTGTTGATTTGATTTTCAAATCTGTTGACGTGCTGAACAAAATCGAGAATTTGGAAATGAAAAAGAATCGAAACATAACAGTGTGAAGTAGTGTCTATTTTTATATCTATGGAACAAGATTATTTTCCCGATATTTATCACTTTCGCTGTCAGTGACACTACTACTTTTGGTTTTATCTCGATAATTTCATCCCCTCGTGCTTATATGGTGTACCAACCTAGACCGATGCATATGTCCCAGACTCTACGTTGTATTATTCTTTGCTTCAGTTTTGTCTAGCAGCCTAGTCAAAGTCGAGTAAGTTCATACTGTTCTTACTTGAAATTTAATTGACAGCTTCAAAAATATAAGACGCTTTTGCCTCACATGTTAAATTGTATAATGGGCCTTACTACCGATAATCCTAAAACGTCTAACTGTGCATTAGTTACCTTCACAACACGTACAATGTGAATGAGCACGATTATTTACTTAACTGTTATATATGAGACAGCAACCTGTTTATATGTGGATTTGGCAGCCACGAAGAAACAATAATAATCAAAATGTAACGCAGATGTATAAAACACCAAGTAACAATGTGTCTAAAATATTAGCCTCAGTAATACTTCGACGCCTAACGAAAGCTCGTGAAGAGCAGACTAGAGAAAATCAGGCTGGTTTTCGACCTGGACGTGGCTGTATAGATCAGATATTCACACTACGTCAGGTTCTAGAACACAGACACACATTCAGACGCCCCACAATGGTAATATTTCTCGACCTTAAGGCAGCATTCGACTCTGTTGATCGTGAGGTTCTATGGCAGTGTTTGTCACTGAAAGGAGTACCAAAGAAGTACATTAACCTTATACAGGCTCTCTACTCGAACACAACTGAACTGGTCGAGTGAGAGCTTATGGCGAACTGTCATCAGAATTGATTACCTCAAGTGGTGTTCGTCAGGGCTGTCCACTCTCCTCATTCTTGTTCAACTTTGTCATTGACGTACTTTTAGAGATAACACTCTCCTCATCTAAATTTACAGGGGTTGAACTTCTACCGGGAGGTTCACTTGTTGACTTAGAATATGCTGATGACATAGTTTTACTTGGTGAAGACGCTGACAAAATGCAGTCTTCTGACCACTCTAAGCAACAATGCAGGCATGTTCGGGATGCGATTCTCACCCTCGAAATGCAAAATTTTGCTTCAGGATTGGGTTGCATTGACACCCGAACTAATGATAGGGAGTGAAGTGATTGAGAGTGTCGATCGCTTCACTTATCTTGGAAGTCTCATCAGCCCTTGTGGTCTGGTGTGTGACGAAATCTCAGTACGGATACAGAAGGCTCGACTAGCTTTTACCAACTTGCGTCATTTATGGCGTAGGCGAGATATCCGTCTATCAACCAAAGGACGTGTTTACTGCGCCGCAGTTCGTCCCGTCCTACTTTATGGCAGTGAAGCATGGCCGGTAAGATTAGAGGATATTCGTAGGTTACTAGTATTTGATCATAGGTGTCTTCGAAACATTGCTCGTATATCGTGGGACCATCGAGTAGGTAATGCAGTTGTTAGGAAACGGGTACTAGGTAAGGATGGCAAATCAATTGATGACGTAATGAAACTTCATCAGTTGAGATGCCTGGGACACGTATTACGTATGCCCAACGACCGACTGCCTCGACGTGCGATGTTCAGTGGTAGAGGAGTAGGTTGGAAGAAAGCTAGGGGCGGCCAGACCAAAACATAGCACAGGTCAATGAAATCACTGACAAGTGGACTGAGTCATGTCGGTAGGTGTAGACTACCTGGTTGGGGACCGCGAGATTATAGCAACCGATGGTTAGAGACCCTGAATGACATGGCTCAAAATCGTTTGCAATGGCGCAGGTGCATCTACTCTTTGTGTTCTCCCAAATTTTGATCTCCTTATTCCTCCTTGTCTCTTTTTTTCTCCTCTCAAATTTATTTCACTGTATTATACTCTCTAAGTAACATCTCCAAACACTAATCTTCCCGATTACTGCTTATACTCTTATTACCTCTACTACTACGGGATTTAAATCGACCACTACATCTCTATGCTAATGTGGTGTGGCAACTCGAACTGATGTACGTATGTACGAAGTTCTTCGTTGTTACTGGCTGACTGACTGAACAATGTCACTAATAACGATTAACAACATACTATGAACGACTTTGGGCGTACTAAAGTAATTCAGGACAAAATGCGACCGCTGCTCTGTTTTAGATGGGCTACGGAGTGTATTCGAATGTTGCTGACTGTAAAAATAATTAACACTAGGTGTCAGTTGATTATTAGGGGATGAGTCGACTTTTCAGAGGAACTGCAAAGGCCGGCGTGGGACAGTCTGGAGGTAATCACGCAAAGTAGCAAACTTATCTTTGAACCTGCTCTGTATTTAGCAAGACTGGATTGCTTGATGCTAGTCAAACAATATAACGGTTTTTTAAGGCCTGAAAGTCAGAGGAGTGATATTCATGCCTCACGACATACTTTATACTTGAGATGGTTTGGCACAGTAAGACCTCGAGGGACAATGTAGCTTAGTCCATTCAAAACACTAGACCATTATCAGTTGAAATGAGACCAAAAGAGTATAATTCGAGGGGGACAAATGGGACTTCATTGACTGAATTTTTGAGTCGATCTAAGCTAGACCACCACTGAAAACCTGGAAGCACTAGATGGTCACTTCGTCCCAGTATGGGACTTCGGCAGCGTTTATCCACGACCCCGTACGCAGGGCCGGAACCCATGACTTTTGGATTCCCGCGCGAATGGTTAACCCCTAGACCACTAAACCAACATCAAATGGTGGTAATGTCTAACTTCAACCGACCCATGATCTTGCGCAACTCTGCGTTCATTGTCTGAAGTGGATAACTGCCTCCACTCGACACGGACTGGAACTAAAAGTAATAGATTATTGAGTCATTTCGCAACATATTTTGCCAGAGATAAGAAGATGGACATCTTTACTACACAAGTGATTCAAAATGGGAAAAAACGAGTGAACTTTAGTCTTTATCGGGATTTCCTGACACACAACACGCAAAATCCAGCACACTGTGGAATATAAACACTGCAAGTTAACGCGGCGATATTAGATGCTAGCATCTGACGAACTCTATTAATAGAATTTTCAGTAGCGCCTTCCCCAAAACGGGTCAAATTTTCCCCAAAATTGGATCGAAGGTAAGTTGTAAAGCGCACCAGGTAAAGTCCACGGCTAGTACGTGGCTAGGTGCATTCTGGCAAGACGCTACCAATAAATGACTCGTTCCAACGTGATTTCTAGTGCTACCCATGAAACACCGATGAGCACTTCTATGTTGTTTGAACTGGTTGGACAATACACGATGGAAATCACTTAGTGTATCGAAAGCATCAATAATTCGCCTTTCTAAAGCTATGAGAAGGCTATGACCCCTTATTATTTCCAACTATAGTTTGTTTGAACTTCTATAGAAGTTCTTTACCTACGTAAAGTATCCTACTGGTCCATGTAGTACCATATCGACTCACTACAATGTGTATAGTTATTAGCATGCAAAAACTACAAAAAAGGCAATTCCTCCATAATCTGCTTTTAAATTTTTTTTAATCGATACAATATATGCAAAGTGAAGCGACACTACAAAGCTACCTCACCTACAATCAGCACATGTACTCAACCTGTTTGGTGAGCGCCAAACAAAACTTGGGTTGTCAAAACAAATCAGTCTTCACTCTTCGCTAATAAGGATAGCATATTAGTGAACCTGTGTTCACTCTGACAGGTTTCCTTCCAGTTAATATCTAGCTTCTCGTTAAAATATTCACTAATGTGGACGATTCCACTTGCTCGAGTAAGGCGTTCCAGTTGTAGCGGTAAATAAATCCTCAAAATAAATAGCTCTGTAGGTCTTCGACATTGGATGCTGACCACATTATTTTCAATGAACTCACCTAGCTGAAAGAGCTCGTTCATGGATCACGAGTGGGGACGCCGTACCCACCATCCCCTGCAACCGCTAACCTGTCTAGATCACTCGATCCTCGATATATTGATAGCCTATCAAATATATCTTCGGACCTCCTCGCTTCTGTCTTTTGATTTCATTTGGTGGGTACAATTCACAGTGGAAGGTGTTACTGGTTAAAGCATTGCAAAACTCTAAACACCTGCAGTATCTTCACAGTCATTGACTATTCGATGAGAAATACGGGACCACACTTCAAGTTTATAAATCGCTCTTTGTGAACCTTCTTGCTATGACCTCGAGGAATAATAGTTCTGGAGTGAGAAAAGAGATAAGACAAATTAACACACATATCATAATTAAAGATGTGAAATGCCAGCCTAAGTTCACCTCACGTCCTACGATACGACAAAGGGAAAAGCTTCAGGCGCCTTTTTAGCGCTCATCGTAAGGGAGTTTAGAAAATCCCTTCACTAATTTTGTTCCCACATGCTTGACACACTCGAGTATCCTCTACCAGACATGAGCTAGCCGCTTGAATACGGCACTTTAAGCGTGGTGTCACATAGTTGCGATATAAAATTCAAACGTTTCCTCGTCAAAGCATTTGAATACTCGTCGAATTGACCGTAACGCGCGAAAACCTCTGACAGCAGCTGTGTTGCAATGCGTAGTTGTTTTCAAAACATGACTTATTATTACTCCGAAGCCTTTACGTTCTCGAACGCATGGAAGAGACGCACCATCAATAGTATGATGGTAACTATTACCGTGTCTGATGTGCATGAGCACACTCTTCCAAGAATTAACTCCGAACCCCCAACCTCGAGCCCGTCTAACTAAATCGTCTAAGTCAGCTTGAAGATCATATTGATAAGCCGCACTTTTCATTGTTCCCCAGATTTTGACATCATCCGCAAAGAATAATGTCGACGACCCAAGCAACAGCGGTAATTCGTTAACATAGAGAAGGAAAGGTAGAAAGCCTAAGATAATGCCTTGGGTTACATCACTTTTGGCCGGCTTCCAATCGGACAGCGTTTCATTGACCTTCACTCTCTGTCTGCGGTCACATAAAAGGTTCCCTATTCCAGACTTAAGTGTGAAACCTTGTCAAATGCTTTGCTAAAATCTATGAATATCACGTCGACAGACAGACCTTTAACTGAGGCTACTGTCCAATCCTCTCTCGCTATAAGTAAATTAGTCAATTATGAACGCTTGTTACAAAAACCATGTTGCTCGGAAGTTAACAGGTTGTGCAAATTTATGTGAATTAGTAACCTAACCCGAATTATCTTTTCAAGTAACTTAAATGATTTAAACTTCAAAGCATACTAGGTAGCAACAACAGAGTAACTCTTCTTTAAAATCAAAATCTGAGTGGTAGTAATTTACTTTTAATATTTGAATTTACGTTATTCGCACTTGTCTTCTAATGATACTTAAATTTAATAATTTTTATAATCGTAATAAAACACCACATCGTTTTTTCGTATGACTATCTATATTTATTCACGCTTATATTCAACGTCTATTATTTATTTTTATCAGTCGTGACTACTTACCTACGCCTATTAGCACTCGTGTGAAAGTAGGTCTCGGACAACCAAACTACAACCAACTCCGTCCTAGGCTCTCCTTTCCAGTTGTTTCCTGTCACTATTCGTTCTTTCGGTGACTGTATCCACTTTGACCTGCCTCTCTACATTTTCTCTTTTGGATTCCAAGTTAGCGCTTACCTCATGATGCAGTTTGATGGTTTCTGCAATGTATGTCTCATCTATATCCGGCGTGTTTTCCTATTTCCCTCCTCAGATGAAAGCTAGTTTGTTCTCGCCTACAATAGATTGCTGCTGAAAGTATCCAACCAACGGATATTGAGCATCTTGAGTACCCATACATTTTTGACGATGCTCGTGGTAGTTCTGCCGAGCGCAGTAGAATCAAGCAATATGTAGAAAACTTCAGATACTCGTCTTTTTGTTGTTGGAAAATCCTTTTTGTAGTATTTTTATGTTTATAATATCGACTTCCTTGCCGGTTGATAGTTGTTTTGAGTTCTATATGTTCTTCAGCTGCAGGAATGCCGCCCTTCATTTACATATCCTTCAATTTGCGTCTGCATCAGATCACCCTTTTTCATCGACGATACATTCCAGTGGCGTGGGATTTCCACCTCTTCCAGAGTTTCTCCGTCGTCTGCCTGCTTGAATATTTAGGCTACCTGTTTCTGCCATCTAAATATTTCAACAAGTTATCTGTTCTTTTATTCTGTTTTAACTACTCTTTATGTCTATTAAACGCATAACCTGTACAGGCACGTTTTTGAAAAGCTTACAACCTTTTGCTGAACAAGCTGCAAAAAGCACACTAATTGACATGGTGGTGTTTGACAATATGCATTGAAGAAAGTGAACATTAATCGTGCATTGACTCCTGAGCTGCCAAATTATAACTACCGACCACTAATTAACAAGGTGAACTTTTCGTGCCCGTAGGTAACCCTCGTGCTATTGATAGAAAATAGACTAGTAGTGAATAAGTCTTTATTTGGAAGCTAATGTAACAGCTTAGGTTAAATGGTTAAGAGTTACGTCTTCGAATCACTTCGGGCTCAGCAGTTTCGTACCTTTAGGTAACCCTATTGATAGACGAAACCAGACTAGTGGTGAATTAGTCTTTATTTAGATCTTCGCGCAATCACAGAGGAGCGTGGGTTCAGACAAACAAAGCCTCTCAACATTCAATATAAGATAATAGGAAATATAACGCCTATACAAAATAAGGAAATGAATGAATACTTGAACCATACTGTTTTGGGATATGCTTGGTCGTTTGGGGTCAACTCTTAGCCAAACAACCTAAGCTGTTACACAGTCCCACTGAAATCATTTTTGTAAGTTTTGGTCGACTTACATCTTTACAGCTAAAACGACTACGGAGGGTAAAAGAAATAATGTATAAGGAGAAAAACTATTGAATTTCGTGAGCTAAATGGTCTAATAAACCTAGAAATTAGACGTCCCAACTCTATATTTACTTAGAAACTCCTGTCTTGTAAAAACTCTCCAAGTATGTGGAAATTTTTTAGAGAACTAACAGGTGACAGGCACACTATAAGCAATAACCTACTGAATGTTTGCAACTTAAATATGTCTTTTGTACGTTAGTCATCTGATGTCATTCTCCCTATATCCAGAGGTTTGAATAATAAGTGTGTTCCTATTTCCACTGAAACTGATGTCTGGAAATGTCTGCAATCATTTCATTTGTCCCGATGTTTAGGACCTGATGGAATCCCAAACCTCCGTTTTAAAAATGTGCTGACTTTCTATTTTGTGCATTTACGAGTATCTTTAACAGATTCTTCTCGACTAATCTCATACCGAAAGTGTGGAGAAAGTTGATGATAATCCTTATACCGAAGAAATTATCTGGTTATAAGAATGTGTGATCTAGACTCATAGCAATGACTTTACGTTCCCTCAGAATAATGCAAAAATTAATGATACTCCCACTTCAACCTACAAGAGGACATTTATGCGTACCAGGTTGCTTACAAACGTGAAAGAAGCACCTTAGATGCCATTGCTGTTCTGCATCACAATATAGCGTTCAGCCTGGAAAAGGGTATGAAGTATGTTCGATATGCTTCTCTGGGCTATCCTTCTACTTTTGATTCTATCCCAAGAAAACTTTTACTTAACAAGTTAATCAGCGTCAACAGTGACAGCTGGATAACCCATTGGCTATGTTACTGCCTCTCTGGAAGGGAACAGTACACTGTGTTTGGAGGAACGTGTTCAACGTCTCTACTGTTTTAAGAAGGTGTGTCACAAGAAGCAGTTCTTTCACCTCTTTTTTCTGCATGATCTGCCATCTTCCACAGAAAACACTTTTGTGAAACATGCCAACGATCTCACTGTATGTACGCGGATTTCTACGCCTTTACATCACATAGAAATGAATGAGTTTTCTGTCTTGTATGAAATGCTGGTCTGTTTTTGGTGACTTTATACTTATTCTGTCTAAACTTCTAGCTGTTAACTTTAATTTGAGACATGGACAGCACCTAAACACCATATTGAGATCCTATAATGTTTGTGACGTTGGAGACTCTCTGATAAACAGTATCAGAGGTTTGTTATCTTGGTGTTACCTTTTACTCTGGTCTCCTCGTATTTTAGCGTTATCAAAGAAGGTTTCACGTCTGACTTACTACATAAAGCGGCTGACTAATTTTATAATTACTCGACATTGTAGCGGTAAATAAATCCCCAAAATAAATAGCCCTGTAAGTTTTCGACATTGGATGCTGACCATATGTTTTAGTGGACTCATCTAGCTGAAGGCGCTCGGTCAGGCATCCGCACCAGATCACGTGTGGTAACGCCGTGCTCAACATCAACCGCAATCGCTAGCCAGATTAGATCAGAGAATTCCGATATATTGGTCATCGCCAAATATACTCTTCCGATCTCCTCGACTCTGTCTTTTGATTTCTCTTGGTGGGAACAAATCATATTAGAAGGTGTTACTGGTAGAAGCGTTGTCAAACACTGAATACCTGTGACATCATCATTGGTGAGACCGTCGTGATCTGGTACACCTTATTGCAACTGTGAGTCTGTTCCTTTTTGGGATTTTTATATATCATTGCCTTATTTTTTATTTTTTTTAAACATTGTGATTTTTTTTCGTATTTTTTCTTGGATACATATATATTTTTCCCCTCGTTCATTATCGTACTTCATATTTCATCATGACTGAACAGACACCTAAAGTACTCAAGCTTAAGACCTTGTCCCCACCTTCGTTTCAACTGATGCCTTTCTGGCCCGACAACATCGAAGCCTGGTTTTGCTACGCAGAAGCCGACTTCTCCGAGCACGGCGTGATCGACACACGTGCACAATTCCTCGCAGTAGTCAAGGCACTACCGCGGGAATTCAACAGGTACGTAACACCTAGTATGTTTACTAGTGATGTTTCCGATCCTTACGAAATCTTAAAACGCTCGATTCTTAAACGAGGAGACCTAACCGATCGACAAAGGTTAGATCAACTCTTCAACAATATCGACCTGCAACACGGTTCTGCGACGGACATGTTGCAACGGATGAGAGAGGTTATAGGCCCAAGAACTTTCGACGAAGGTCTATTCAAACAACTCTTCTTGTCAAAACTTCCCCAACAGGTGCAAGCAGTTCTGGTCTCGTTCCAGAACAACGCCTTAGACGAGCTAGCTGCATCTGCCGACCGCATTTTAGAAATTACGAAATCGTCTACTACCGAGGTATTTTCAGTCAAAGAAAAGCCTCACACGACTCAGAATGACATAACCGACTTATGTCACACACTCACGCGTTATCTTAGTCTTCGTACCGACCGTAAGAGATCGCACACACCACGTAGAAGCATTTCTCGTAAGCGATCTGTCTCTAGACCACGAGAGACAGATAACCCCGACTGGTGCTGGTATCATAACCAGTATGGAAAGTTTTCCAGAAATTGCAGAAAACCCTGCAATTTTCCCAACACGAAACCGACTGATTCGAAAAACAATTCGGGAAACTTCCAAGCCGGCACGCGTTAACGGCAACCGTAGCCGGCGAACATAGCCGTCTGTTATTCGTCACAGATGTGACAACGAGAGTTCGCTACCTCGTCGACACTGGCGCAGAAGTTAGCGTTCTCCCAGCAAATCCTAACGACCGACTTCACGAATCGACTCTAAACTTACAGGCGGCAAACGGAAAACCGATCGCTACGTATGGCAAAAGGTACGTTTACCTTAACGTGGGTTTACGCAAACCCATCCACTGGATTTTCGTCGTTGCAGATGTTTCTATGCCAATCATTGGTATGGACCTTCTACAACACCACAATCTGATCATCGACACTCGCAAACGGAGGCTAGTAGACGGAAACACTAATTTGTCCGTTTGCGTAACTTCTTTTACTGGTTGTAGAGTATCCCCAGTCACAGTTAAGCATATGATAGACCCACTCTATCAACCACTACTCGATAAGTACCCTGGGATACAACAAACGCAACCGAAACTACCGTGTGTAACCCGCAACGTTACACATCACATCACGACTACAGGACCATCTGTATTCTCTAAAGCACGCCGACTAGCTCCTGAAAAGCTAAGGTTAGAGAAAAACGAGTTCGCTCACATGATAGACTTAGGAGTCATACGACCGTCAAGTAGCCCTTATGCATCTCCGTTGCACATGGTCCCTAAAAAGGACAGCAACGATTGGCGTCCAACTGGTGACTATCGGCGATTGAACGCGAAAACCATTCCCGATCGTTACCCGTTGCCTCACATTCACGATTTGACAGCTACCTTGAAAGGTACAACTGTCTTTTCGAAAATCGACTTGGTTAAAGCGTATAACCAAATCCCTATGGCTACTGACGACATACCGAAAACTGCCATCATAACTCCCTTCGGACTCTATGAATTTTTGCGAATGCCTTTCGGTCTAAGGAATGCTGCTCAAACATTCCAAAGATTCATAGACGACGTTTTTCGAGGTCTCAACTTCGTACACGCGTATGTTGACGACTGTCTAATCGCAAGTCCGGACAGAGAAACACATCTCAAGCATCTGGATCTTGTTTTCGAACGATTACAAAAACATGGCATAACTGTAAACGTTCAGAAATGCCAATTGGGAACCGACTCATTAGACTTTCTGGGACACACTATCGATGCTCAAGGTATCCGACCC